TATGCTTTACAACGTAGTGCCATGTCGTGGATTACACGAGACAGATTCCCTTGGAACCTTAATCCGATGATCAAAAAGGTGAACACCTCACGCGGATGTCCAGTCGTCTTTCGATTCTCATTGTCAGATGCACTCAGGGGCGAAAACGCTGAATAGAATATGTGACGAGATCATCAACAAAAGACGGGCGGAGCGGAAATCGGGAAAAGGAGTTGAAATGCATGACTTGCTGGACAAGTTACTCCATCTTGATGAAGTGGACTTGCGAGGAAACCTCATAACGTGAGTCTCACTTATGCATGCGACATTCTCTGGTACATTGTGAATAGACCAGCAATGATACTGAGTACACAGCGGTATGTAATGAATGTAATCAGGTTCCTCGTTGCTGGTAGTGACACTACGGCCATGACCGTAGCCTGGTGTCTCTACTACCTCGCGCTATATCCTGAAATACAGAACAGGGCCCGTGTTGAAGTGGACGCTCTCGGCCACGATCCCAATGCGACGGAGGACCTCGACAGGTTGGTCTTCGTGAAGTGTTGCATACTCGAGGCCCTCAGGGTGAGTGCTTGGTAATCAACCAACGATATTTGCGTTCACTCTCAGCTGCAACCACCGGCTGTGTTCCTTCTGCATGAGTGTACTCACGACACAGAACTCGATGGTCGCCGAATCCAAGCCGGGACGAATGTGCTGACCCTCTTCCGTAAGGCGATGGTGGCAGATGCGTATGGCGGGAAAACATTCGAGTATCTACAATTTCTGCTACTTCATCTCTGAGCTCGCCGTCCATCTCAGCCCCAAACGTTGGCTCCTTCCTGACGGCTCGTCGATAGACCAAGCACGTGAACGTGATCACCTGGCATTCGGTGGAGGTCCTCGTCAATGTCCTGGGAAGAACATGGCCGTCAAGGAGGCAGTGGTGATCCTGACTTTGATCCTAAGACACTTTAATTCTATTTCATTGAACTGCCCTCCCTCGTTTGTCCGTGGCGAGGCTACCTTCACGTATGGACCACTGAATCTCGAGCTCCAAATGCGGCGACGAGTTGGTTAAAGTGGCTACTCTTCGATTTTATTGTCTCTGATGCTCTGATTTTTGTGTGGTCACAAAACGTGCTTCGCGTTCATCCAGTCTCACCTCAGCATAGGCCAGTATTGACCGGATGCTTTGTGGTTTCAGCCTTTTCATGATACTGCTGCTCGAGGAAAAGGTTTGAGTTCGGGTTCGATGCGTACCCTAGATGGGTGCCCAGTGTTTCTCAATCCTTGGTCAACGGGGTCAAGGGATTCGACTCAGATCCCTATGTCACAATTAAATTTGGGCGTACCCTGTGACTCAGCACCAGGGGATGAGTTTCACCGTGTGTAGGAGAAGAAGTATTCATCCTGCTACCCGCGTAACACTGTGGACTCTGTAGCTCAATCGTAATTGATTCCGAATCGGAATTTGACCTACAATTATCGGAATTTCCGATAATTGTCTGAATTTGCCGTTACTCCAGTCGTGCCGAATGATTTCATCTTTTCACTTCGCGCGCTACAGAGATTTATTGGGATTTCACCCTAGTGAATAACATATTTCACGACTACTGCATATCACCGCGAATATCGCGTTTTTCACCGAGTTTTACGACGCCACTTCGCGTAAAACGGGTGAAACTTCATTATATCTGAGAGTGGCATAGCGGCCCCACGTGGCTAGATCGGCCTCATTAACGACGAGCTCGACTTCATCTTCTCCCCGTCCTGTTCGGGTAGTCTGGACAGTTGATTACGTTGAGGCATCTCTCAAGGTGGCATAGTGGCCCCATGTAGAACGTCTGGATAGTTGATTGTGGTGAGGCATCTCTCAAGGTGGCATAGTGGCCCCATGTAGAACGTCTGGATAGTTGATTGTGGTGAGGCATCTCTCAAGGTGGCATAGTGGCCCCATGTAGAACGTCTGGATAGTTGATTGTGGTGAGGCATCTCTCAAGGTGGCATAGTGGCCCCATGTAGAACGTCTGGATAATTGATTGTGGTGAGGCATCTCTCAAGGTGGCATAGTGGCCCCATGTAGAACGTCTGGATAATTGATTGTGGTGAGGCATCTCTCAAGGTGGCATAGTGGCCCCATGTAGAACGTCTGGATAGTTGATTTTGGTGAGGCATCTCTCAAAGTGGCATAGTGGCCCCATATAGAACGTCTGGATAGTTGATTTTGGTGAGGCATCTCTCAAGGTGGCATAGTGGCCCCATGTAGAACGTCTGGATAGTTGATTTTGGTGAGGCATCTCTCAAGGTGGCATAGTGGCCCCATATAGAACGTCTGGATAGTTGATTTTGGTGAGGCATCTCTCAAGGTGGCATAGTGGCCCCATGTAGAACGTCTGGATAGTTGATTGTGGTGAGGCATCTCTCAAGGTGGCATAGTGGCCTCACTTGGAACGTCTGGATAGTTGATTGTGTTGACTGGTTGTGTTGAGGTATATCTTAAGATGGCATAGCGGCCCCACTTGAAACATCTAGATAGCCGATTATGTTGAGGCATATCTTGAGATGGAATACCGGCCCCATTTGTGGGAGATCATCTCATTAGAAGAGGCCCAACAAAATAAAGTGTCCTCAGAATATCTCGTCAATCCAAACAGCAATGAACCTGCCAACAACAACAGACTGCTACATACTCACAGTACCAGTTGTAGGAAGATGTGATGAGGGCCCTCGTGGGACAATGAACGCCGAACGCTCCTGAGTAGCTATGTACTT